TTTTTTTTTTTTTTTTTCAGCAAACTTTAGTACGTAAAACCTAAAAAATATTGTTCCTTCTCTTGGTTTTTCTATGCAATTAAATTTCAAGGAACATGGAACAGAAAAGCATATGATGGTTTTTAAACAGCAAACACGGCAGAAGCAAATTTGAGGAAGACAGAAAAGAGGCGTAAAGATAACAAACAAAAAACAGCAACAATTGCTTATTTGATGCAGACACTAATGCACGAAATAAACTTAAATTAAGTTTTCAACAGAAGAGCATAGTCTTTAGTAACACAGAAAAAATTTTGAATAAATTTGTAGTTAATAAGTCACTTTTTTTTCTGCTTTTTCCGTTTTTTGCTAAGCAAGTTTATCTCTTCCGCGTTTCTTGTTCTTTAGTTATATAAATGATTATTTTTTTCATATGTTATAAGTAAAGTTTAGTAAAAGAAAAAAAATTTTTTCGAATAGTTTATAGTAAATTTAATCAGAAAATCTTTACCACACTATTTTGTACAGTCATTGACGTCAGCAATAATTGCAATAATGACGAAGTAACCACATTTTTTTTTTTGCATAATAACGTTATTAAATGTCTTCTAGCTTTTAACGAGAAAAAATTTTGGTTTTGTCTTTTAATTATCAACGGCAAATATTGTAAAAAGTTTGTTGTAAAAAAGGTTCTCTTTTTTGATACTATATCAAGGTTAAAGTTTAGTCAAAAAAAAAAAAAAAACCATAAATTTTTCTTTTCATTTCTTATAACTTTGTTTATTTAGTGTTGGTAACAACGAAAAAAACGAGAAGCAAAGGAAAAATAAAAAGAGATAAAATTTGACTATTTGCTATGCCTTTTTTTAGCTAAACAAACTGCTTTCTTACCAGTCGGGTGCCCATTTTTTTGTTGCAAATGAATTGTAGGCAACCATGGCTCGATACGGTAACCAGCAAATTGCAAATATTACGACCACAATAGCTAACATTTTGACTACCTAAATTTAGCATTTTTTCTTTGGCACTTTTATAGAACAACAAACACTTACATAAAAATTTTCAAATTCAAACAGAAAAGCCAAAACAGGAAGCTTTATGACTTTAGAAAAGAACTAGGATTTAATGCTTTATAAAACCTGATTTATTCCGCGATTCGTCTTTCTGGAACTGTTCCCGTGACACTGCACTGAAGTTCCGTTAACGCCATTTACAGATGACACAATCAGACCATCATGTAAGCCTTTAAATCCCAACTTTTAGTTTTCGCAAAGTCTAACATATTTTAAAGACAAAATTGAGCGATTAAAACTGTTACTGGGTGGTTTATAACAAAGCATGAAACTGTTTCTCGATAAGTTGTTAAGGTCAACATAATTTATTAAGTTCTTGCATTTGAACTAAAGTAAAAGCATCTGCTATACTGCTTAAATATGTCAAAAAATTGCTTAAATGTTTTTCGCAAGTTGTATTTTTTTGTTCGCTGCGCACGGGTATTTTAAGGTGAGCAAAAGTACCTGTTTTACTACGACGGGGGCATTTCGATTTTGGCGTATTTTTAGTTATCGTGTAGCCAATTTTGCTGTAGATTATCAGATACAGTATCATTGGAGTAATATAAAAAGTCGCCAAGTCAAACATGTACATAGCCTGAAAATGTTCTTTCGCCGTATAAACTGATAAGTTCTTTCAACTGACAAAGCGTTTTTGTTAGTTCACTGTAAACTTGAATTGCTTTTTGATATCAAAGCAGAAAAAATATTTAAAGTTGTAAAAAACTTTTATTAAATTTTGTTGATAAGATTTTTGAGAGTTGTATAAAGCAATTAAAGTTTGTCTAACTTTGTAAGCAAAGTGATCCCGATTTAACCGGAAATTGCAAATGTATTCTGTTTGATTGAGCTTCAAATCGACGAGGTATAACCACGGAGAATTGTAGATTATTGAAAACAACCAGATACCAAGAATAATCGCTTTTGCCCTTTCTACAGTACACATGTAACTGTAACTTTGTTCATCATTAGTCGTCACCAACTTTTCTTTTGCAGTCACATTTCAGTTTTAATCTTTCTTGTTGGTTCTCCATAGAAAAAAAACAAAAATTTTTTGATTTTGTTCTCTTATCATTATTTAAAGATAACAAAAAGAAATAAAATTTATTATGTTACAAATAAAATTGTATGAATCTTAAAATTTGTTGGAACCATATCGTTGCTACTTTTTTGTTCAAAATCACAGAAATAGATTGAATTAGCTGCAACCAAAAAGAATGTTATTCTAGAACAGATGCTTTACTTAGCCACACTTCATAACTCTTTTTCATCTCTCTCAACAGTTTTGCTTTTGTAAATGTCACATCAACGTATTAGAAAAATAGTTTTTTTTTTTGCAAGAGTTTAACATATGATATAAATAAGTAAGAAAAAATAAAAAAGTTTAATCGACATTTTACAAAACAATAACTTTATTACATTTTTAGTGTTATTTGTTATCTATTAATGTATTTATTTTGTGCTTACCAGATGTATCTGATTTGAAGTTTTGCTGTTTTTTACAGCAAACGTAATTTTTATAAACTATAAACTTTTTTAAGCAAAGAACGTTCTGCTATGAACGTAAAACTTCTTTTGATACAGTACCGTTTGGTGTTTTAAGTGTTACATTAAAAGATAAACAGGCAGTCGACAACAGACAAAATTGTTCGTCTCTGCTGCTTTTTTTTTTTTAAACACTCAATTAATATATAGACTATTTTCTGTTTCTGATACGTATTTCTTTTTTCTAAGCATCTTCAAACTGTACAGTTCAAGTCTGTAATTATGCTAAAGTAAACAAACTGAGCTAAATGCAGTGTAAAATATGATTAGCTTGAGCAAACCAGAACATTGGAAATGAAGATGATCATCAGGATCTATGGAAAGGATAAAAACTGAAAAGTCTTAATTGTAAACAGTTTTTTTGTTTAGTCGACTTTCGGTTTCCAAAGGTTATGAAATTATCGCTTTGCTTGCATACAGCCAATTTACAGTACAAAGTATAATGAGAAAAAACTGATGTTTATTGAATAATTTTTTTCTAAACACTTCATTTACAGATTAG